CCTTGATAGCAATTCGCGGCTTGTACTGGATGTCGTACTCGTTAAGTTCGATGGCCCACTTTGTCAACCTACCAGACACCTCGGGCTTGAGCAAGACTTGCCTCAGAGGCTTATTGGTGAGAACAATGATAGTATGAGCTTGGAAGTATGGATGAAGCTTCCGAGCTGTAACAACTAGAGCATACGCCAACTTTTCGATCTCTGGATATCTCGTCTCTACCCCCTGCAACACTTTGCTAACATAGTAAATAGGTCGTTGGACCCGATCTACCTCTTTTATTAGTACCGAGCTTACTACCTCGTCACTCGCGTAGAGGTATAGCTCCAAAGTATCTCCGATCTCGGGTCGGGTCAAGGTTGGGATGTGGGCGAGGTACTTTTTGAGCTCGTCGAAAGCGAGCTGACAGTCTTCGGTCCATTCAAAGGCTTTGCTTTTAATTGCCTTGAAGAAAGGCAGGCAGCGATCTGTCGATCTGGACATGAAGCGGCTATGCGTCCATTCAACCTCTGAACCTCCTTCAATTTCTGGGGTGGTCTCATATCTAAGATTGCCTTAATTTTTTCAGGGTTAGCCTCAATGCCACGTTGGTTGACGATGTAACCTAGGAATTTACCCGAGGTGACACCAAAAACGCACTTGTTTGGGTTTAATTTCATGTTAAATTTATGCAAGATTTCAAAGACAGAATGTAAGTCATTTATTAAATCACTTGAAAACTAAGTTTTGACTACCATGTCGTCGACATAGCATTCTACTTTCTTGTCGATCAACGGCTCGAATAATTTGTTTACAAGCCTTTGGAATGTTTCCCCAGCGTTTTTCAGTCCAAAGGGCATGACCTTGTAGCAGTACAGGCCGAGCTCGGTTATGAAGGCTGTTTTTTCTTCATCAGTAGGGTCCAATCTGATCTGGTTGTAGCCCGAATAGGCGTCTAAGAAGATCAGCAACTCATGCCCTGAGGTCGCGTCCACCAAATGGTCGATCCTGGGAAGTGGGAAGCAATCTTTCGGGCAAGCCCGGTTCAGGTCGGTGTAACCGACGCACATGCATCATTTACCGTTAGCCTTTTTTACCAGAACGGGGTTGGCCACCCAGCTCGGGTAATGGACTTCCCTAATAAAATCGGCTGCGAGGAGCTTCCTGACCTCCTCGTCAACTGCTCTCCAACGCTCTGGGGCTAGGTTGCGTTTCTTCTGTCTAACGGGCCTAACTACAGGATCAGTGTTCAGTTTATGAGTGATGATGCTAGGGTCTATGCCAGGCATCTCTGCCGTGGACCATGCATCTCTTCGACTGAACCGACCCAGTGACCGAACCGTGGACCATACACGGTTTTTAAAACCAACCCAGTGACCGAACCGATCAAGGGTCCGGTTATCGAGTCGAATGGTCCAACTGTTCAAACCAAATGCTTGGCCCATTCTGACAAAAAATAAAAAAAAAATCAAAAAAATAAAAAATAGTCAAAACGATTCGAATAGTTAACCGCCTAGTTCAGCAGTTCGCGGACCAAAATCAACAGTTTTGGGGGAAATCCGGTTTTGGGGAAAAATGGACCGGTTCCCAATTTTTCCGATCTAACTGTCTGATCCAATCCGATGTTGAAAACCATGGAAAAATACATGGAACCTTTACTCCTATCCCATTGCCCAATAAGTTTGTAATGTAATGAGTCTTCCATCTCAGGGCAAATTGTAACAAATGAACAATATAATTTAACGACTTGATGTCACTACTTCAATTGAGAGTTGAGTTTCTACTGTTCCATGTGTAGCTACAGCATTGGAGGAAAGACTGTGCAATCCAATAGGTGGCTCAAAATCCCTTCTTGCAACATTTCACACTCACATTGTTGAACCAAATTCCTCAATCTTTTCTTGCAACATATTAAGCACACATCGTAGATCCAAACCCCTCAATCTTTTATTTTGACTTCCTAGAGGCCAAAGAATGTGCACATAAGATATACCTATTTTCCAGGACCCCTCTCTTTTATTTTTTTTTCTTTTGAAACCTGATTAGGCAATTTCATTAATTATTCAGGGAAGATTCGTTCTGCATACAAGAAGAGAGATAAGATGGAATCACAGTCCAAGTACGAGTCCGATGGAGAGATGGACCAAACCGTGCAATACAATGTGTTGCTTTGTTTACAGATCTAGGAATGAATCTCATCGAGGTAGAGGAGATGTGAGAGATAAAAAGGACTCTGCAGTAGGCTAATAACTAACGATTTTTTCATGGAGGATTTGATGTTTCTTTCGAAAGAGCCTGAATAGCACAAAGAGCATCACCCTCCAGTATAACAAATTAAAGTTGAAGCTCAAATGCAAGCATAGGTTTCAGTSTCTACTCTAGTGATGAGCAATTTGCAAAACGACATGCTCTCTTATACACAAACTGATTGAAATGATCTCAAATAACGAGGCCAACTGCACTCCAAGTGGCTAACGTTGCACCATCAAAATTAATCTTGAAAACATTGACAGGACAACAATGCCACATGCATGGTGAAGAAGTGGATATGACCGGCCTATTAGCAGAATTGTGCCTCTTAGAGATGATTGTTTCTTGGGATGAAATCATCGTCACCTCAACGGCAGGAATAGATGATTGAACCGATATAGTGGCATTTTCTATGGCAGCCTTACAATGATACTTCAAAATGACCCAAGCTATAATTATGCATTTAACAAAAAGGGACATACTCACTCAGGTTGCACAAAGTCTATCATCCTATGCCCAGAGAGCTAGTTAGGCCCGTTCGTTTTTAGAGAAGTTACCTACCCGGGTAGATGCACTTATTCAAATAAATATATTTACCCATGTTCTTTTATTTTTCAGACAAATAAGACTGACTATTTTAGTCATAAAAATTCATCATTAAATGGGACAATTTTCTCCCATCCAAGTGTCGACAGCTTTCTACCATGTGAGAAAGTTATTTGTCCACCTAGGAGGTGGGTATCACTAATCCATATAAGTGATAATATCCAGGGAAAATAAATTTTTAATAGACCCCACATAAATCTTAAAAAAAATATGGACATCTTGGTCAATGGGAACCAAAATCCCACTGACCAACTTTACCCCCTCACAAAATCTAAAAAACAAATAAGGGTATCGTATCTTAGTGCTATCAACACATGAACCCATATTGGTACCAAAACGTATGGCTCTTGATGTGGGACAATTAAATAAGACAAGGTCTAGAGTTTCCTCTTCAGCGTTGCATCTTGGATATAGGCAAGTACCATATGATGTCATATAGACAATTCCAAGTAAAATAAAATATCCTAGGCAGAACATTTTTTGCTTGCCACAACTTGGACCATGTAACACCACCAAAAGTCGGTGCTATGGGTACCTCCTGTAGGCTCCGGCAGTGGTTAGTTGTCCATTATGAGAATAAAGTCCAGATCAATTTATCATCTTCCACAGTAGGGTCTAAGGGGATATAAATATGGTGGATAGCATAATCTTATTCCATTGAAAAATACAATTGTGGAGAATCAATCAATAAATGGGAAACCCGAAGATTGTGGTTGACATTTGATGTTGGTTGCAGGTGTACATGTTGGATATATCTTGTCGGCATCTGACCGAGTGGCAGAAYAAGTAGAGTTGGAGATCGTCCAAAAAGACTTTCCATTAGGAATCGCAAGACTTGGAACCATAGATTAATGCTATGGTTTTAAACATAGATCCCAGGAGGCCCATCTTCCCAATTTAGTCAAATGATTGGTGACGATTCTAAATCTGTCCAAGTGAACTGTTTTTAAAAGTTTATGGTCAAATACATGAATTATGTTTAGCCAATCCATTCTATTTAAGGCCAATATATGACACATCATATAATTAAAATTTGGGGCATTTTCATTTCCTCTTTAACTCTTATCCCTGAAGATGAATCTTTTACATTAAAAGAAAAATGGTTGTTTKTTTCCTCTTATCTCTTATTTCTTAAAGTGCAATCATACAATTTTTTGTTTTTCAATGATACCCCCAAAAGGACAAGCAAAAACTCTCATATCTAGGGTTAAAATGAATATTTGATAATTTTCAGAATTCAAAATTCAGAACATTCTTTGCATTAGAAAGAAAAATTCACCAATACCAATATACCTCTTAATGTAATTATTGCACTTTCAGATGTCATACTTCAGAGCAGACAAAGAAGTCCTTAATTTGAATTGGTAAGTTCAAACTATGACCCATGAATGGTTCACTAGTTTGACTATCTTTTTTACTCAATAACATGCCCATCATTTTGTCTCTATGTCAACAATGGGTCATTGAATCTGACCATCTGAGTCAATGGCAAGTTGTGAATATAGATTCCATCTTTCTATTTGATTTTCTTGATTAAATTTAACTAATCAACTTCAGTGGATCCACAGTTCAATAGAGGAATTTATGTCAGATGTATTGTTCATAAGAGTGGCAACAAGACAGGTTTGAAGAGGGTTTTATAAATTTTAAACCCTACCCACCTTTCTAAACCTCCTGACTTTTTTACCTGCACCAAAACTCATAATGGGTTGGAATTTTGAAAATCCAAACCCTCCTCACATGGAAATGCAAAACTCTCTCCAACCCTACCCTCCTCGCATTCAAGGGTCCACATCTAATTTCCTATTATTTCTTGTTATATATAAGCATTAAATAACTAAAATAACATGAACAAACAGCAAAATTTCCAATTACTTGATTAAGATATGTAAATAACACAAACTATCAATTATCCTTCACATAAAATTCAAAATATTATTAAACTCCACCAAAAACATGAAGTCCATATGCTTTCCAACAATATGTAGATTGGGAAGGGTCAATTTAAGCCCAATACCATATCCTACTCATACTCATACAGGTTGTAGAACCCCAAAACCCATCCTTCAAACAGAAAAACCCACTCAGTCAAAGTGCGTAAAGGCAAGGTACCCACCGGGTAGGGTAGGGTAGAAACTAGAAATTGCCATTCCTAATTGTTCATTTTAAACAATTCAGAATCATGACCGCTGCTCATATTCTCCCAAATTACATCCTTTCTACCTTTTCCAGATAATATCCAGAGTCATTCTAAATTTGAGAGTTGTATGTCTAACAGGCAAAGAATGCAAAACAAACTTTTACTTCCCACCTGTTTTCCACACTAATTATCCAGATCCACAACCAAAAGCTATGGTGTGTAAAACGTGTCCGGGCATATTCAGTGAAAGGTTAATCCATCGAGAGTACCCACGTCACAACATCAACTGAAAGCATTACAAGAGAAAAGAAGCAACAATATTATTAACTTACAAAAATGCCATTAAGAATTAAAAACCCAAACAGCTTCAGAGTTCCTCCAATAGCCACTTTACTCAGTCCTGCTCATGCTGGAAAGAAGAAAAGATAATTAATAACCTCTGTTAATGCAGTCAATATCCCAAAGCAGGAAAAAGTTGTGGGTATGATGACTTTTTTCAGTACCCTTATATAGCACACTATCATCTAGAAGCACAATATCAAATGTATCTCCCTGGTTGCTTCAAAAATGTCCAGTAAATAGTCCACTAAGCACCTAGCTTGGTGGTTATTATCCAATTGGAAATGTTGTATATGTGCATATGCATGAACGAATACTCAAATACATATATTGTTTTAAATCGTAAGTATTAGATGGAGGTATCTTTCTGTCCTTGTACTCATTATTAACACTCTTAAGAAAAGACTACCGAGTTGGAGCTACCAGTCACTGATATTAATCAATAATCTTTGATCTCTCTTTGCTCTCTTTTCTCATTCTCTAGAACTGATCTATGAAGAAAACACTTCATCATGGAATTATTCAATTTGTCATAGAATCTGTTTGATAATTTACTTTTCTCTGTTCTCTCTTTTATTTTCATCTTTGTTTACTTAATCTGAGAACCATATTGTGCTCATTAATTACACCAGAAAACCTGTTTTTCTTCTTTATTCCTTGGTGGTATGACCAATATTTATTATTTGTGGGTGGCTCAGTTTCCTATGAGGATTATTTAAGGGTTTCCACAGCGTAGATCTAAGGTGTTCAGATCACATGATGATTGTTTTGCGGAGTTATATTTGTGTGGAAAAATCATTCAAGGGAAACATAACTGGCTCATTCCTATGTGGGATTTTTTCTTTCTTTTCTTTTCTTTTCTTTTTTTTCTTTTTTTGAATCTGGAGATATCAGAACAAGGAGACAATCTTCCTGATTGAATCTAGAAGCATTTCCGGAATATATAACAAACCTGTCTTCATTCCCTGGTTTGCATGGACTTAATCTGTTCACAGCAGTATTACCATCTGTAATTACTGATAACAGCGGGCAGTAAGGTCAGTTGCTATTTGTGGGTGTGTTCCCTTGTTTCACTTTTACTAGTGGTCACATATTGGTGAATAATGAGTAGTGATGACAGCCACACCAGGATTCTTCAGGAATTTATTCTAATTCAAGTCAAGAAGAAATGATTTAAGCACTCATAATTTAACAAATAGATAGGGCACTACATAACAGAATGGCAAAATAGGATTCATGGATATGGCACTCTATGACTCCATATAGTTGTGACAAGGATTAGAAGACGAAGATGGTGATGATGATTCTAATTCAAGTGGAGGTGTAGAGAACTTGAATATACAGCATCTATTACACCATTGTATGAATTGAACTATGTAGAATGGCCAAAATCTGTAAGATTGTTTGTAGTGTTAGTTCCAGGCAAGAAAGAGGAAAAACAAGAGAGGAAACAGATTGGTGGGGTGTGGTTCAGTGAGTGCCACACCCAGTGTGAGTGGATAATCCTGTTCTAACAAGAATATGTAAAATACAACAGTATACAAGGGCTGTAATATACATGATGCAAAAGAAAGATAAAATTACAATATTAACCCCCATCTTTCTACACTCCCCCTCAAACCAATGCTGGAGCAGAAGCATCAGTTTGTCCATAACTGAAGGACAAAAAAAGACATGGGGAAGAGTGATGTGGCCCACAATGAGGAGATCTCTGATGAAGTGGCAATCCACTTCATTGCACTTATATTGTTAGCAAAGAGAAGAATGGGAGACAAGTGAACAGGTTAGAGGAAATCTTCATTGCACTTTATAGTTAGCAAAGAGAAAAATAGGAGCTGAGTGATCAATGGCAAGATCATGAAGTAAGGTCTTAGGTCAAATAATTTCACTACAGACAAAGGACATGACACGGTATTCAGCTTCAGTCGAAGACTTTGATACAGTCTGTTGCTTCTTGCATTTTCAAGAAACAAAAGAATCACCAAGGAAAATACACCAACCAGTAGTGTGACGCCTAATATCAAACCACCCTGCCCAGTCAGCATCAACATAAGCAGTCAACTAAGTGGAGGAAAAGGAGAAGAGCCCACGAGACAAGGTTCCCCTGACATATCTAATGATACAAAGAACTGCTAAAAAGTGAGGCTGCTGAGGTGCAAGAAGAAACTGACTATCAAAACTTCGTAGGATATGTCTGAACGGGTCATGGTGAGATAGATAAGACTGCAGACAAGCTTCAACCTATTTGGAGTCAGTAAGATTGGCCATTGAGCTACATATAAATTGACCAAGACAGACATGCATATTTAATCAGCTTGCACATTTTAAACGTTAGCATGTATTTTAAACCAAAGTCTACATGAAAAGAAAACATGCAGCTAGAACATTAACTCCAAACTTCTTGTTTCAAGTCTCTTAACATATAACAAATGGTACAACTAATTCATCCATTATCCATATTAACCTTACCTGAGAAGCAGTAGCCACAGAAATTTTAGGTGCTACCAACTTTGGTGGAGAATTTTCATATTTAAGAGAACACTCATTATATGCTGATCCAAGACCCACACCAGCACCAAATGCTATAGATGCCCAGCGTGTGACAGGACTCCCTGGTTTGAGAAGCAATGATAAATTGATTAGCTCACCATGAAAATACCTATAATAGCAGACTCATGTGATTTTAAAATCAAATAATAAACACATAAGTAGGATGCCATAATAAAATGTTTTATGTTCTGGAATGTTAAATTGTAATCGGCCAAAGTATAACTGCTATTACTAAATCCAGCATTTATGATTCAAATTTAAGAACACTAAATTTCTTTCTTAGGATAATATAAAGCAGCAATACTGAATTAAATTTGATGTTGATGCAAAAGAGCAAATAATATAACTGATTTTGCTTCTTAAACCAGAAAGTACACAAATAAAATTAGTTGTCTGAGTTAACATTGCCTGCAACCAATGTTGCAGAACAACTCAGCGACTCCAAATGATTATTGAGCATGCCAGTGTGGTGACCTTGAATAGAGACACGCTGGCAAACCTCCCCACCTATTTCCTTTCAACCTTTAGAATCCCTTCTAAGGTAGCAAGGTGCTTAGAGAAGTATATGAGAGATTTCCCATGGGACCCAGGAGAGGAAGGGAAGAATCACTTGATCAAGTGGGAGTAGGTTAGTAAATCCAAGGAACAAGGGGGTTTGGGAATTGGGAACACAGCTTTACTAGGTAAGTGGCTTTGGAGGTTTCCCTTTGAGGGCAACAGAATGTGGCACAAAGTGATTGAGAGTATTCATGGGGTGGCTGGAAATGGCTGGGATGCAAAAGTTTCCCCTAATAGGTCTTCAGCTTCTCCTTGGAAAGCAATTCGTGAAATCTACCCTACTTTCCTCAATTCCATCCGGTTTGATGTGGGACAAGGTAATAGAATTCTGTTTCGGGAAGATCTATGGGTAGGGGAAACCCCACTAAAAGACCAATTCCCTTATCTCTTTGCGCTATCTAACCTTATGGGGGAAGCTATATCCATGTTGGGATCACCATGTCCAACTGGTGTGAATTGGAATTTGGGCTTTAGAAGGGGACTAAGGGAGAATGAGTGTGAATCCTTAATCCGTTTGTTGGATCTCTTAGGGCAGATCCACTTGGACCCTTCGTTGGAAGACTCTGGGTTCTCCAGACGGCCTCTTTTCTTGCTCCTCTTTCTTCTAAGTACTTGTTTCCCCCAACCCCCTAGGTGGGATTTTCCCTGTGAAAGAAATTTGATGCAACCCTATTCCCCCGAAGATCCAAGCTTTCTGCTAGGAAGTATTCCTTGGTAAGGTAAACACTTGTGATATGCTGCAGAAAAGAAGACCATATATTTGCCTTTCTCCTCATGTGTGTTCACTGTGTAAGGAAAGTGGTGAGGCCCTTTCTCATTTAATGATATCTTGTTCTTTTGTGCATCGAATTTGGGAATTCTTTGGTACTCTATTTGGCTGCAGGTGGGTTCCCCCTCAAGATATGGCATGACTTTTCAACCATGATTTCTTGAGACAGAAAGAAAAGAGGGATGGTAATGTGGAAAGCAACAAAGGCAGCAATTTGCTGGGTAACATGGGAAGAGAGGAACAACAGAAATTTCTTGGAAAAAAGTAGAACAATAGAGAAAGTAATTGATAGTATCAAGGTGAAAGTAGCTCATTGGGTAAAACCCTTGGACTGCTTTCAAGTTTTTTCAGTCGTAGATATTCTAAGAACTGGTCAGAAGTAGCACAATCTTCAAGAGTAAGAGATAAAGTAAAGTTGGAGTGGAAACCATGTTGAGGGCCCGCAAATAGGATCTCGTCACGGGTCGGTCCACGAGGAAAACCTCCTGTTTTCCCTTGTTCCTCCCTGCTCTTGATGAACCTATCTTGGCACCTTGGTGATTTGTTCAAGAGATCACCAACTTTCTTAACTCACTTCTTGACTGAATATTCGATGCCTTCACTCAATAATAGTGTCTCCTTAAATAGGAGATTACAAGAGTCCTACTCCTAGGGGGACTCCTTGCTGAATAGGGAGACCTCCTGCTCTATCTTGATAAGATAAGACTGATAGGATACGATAAGTCTCTCTTAATCCTAATCTGATAAGATAAGATAATCTAATCTACTAATCTTAATAAGATAAGAACAAGCAAGATAGTCTAATCTAATCTGCCGAATGGATAAGACTAGTGCCGCCGAATTGGGTAGGATGAGAACATTGGATCACTACTACTGCTGGTGGCGGCGATGATATTTCTTCTCGAGGAACGCGTCCATATCATCACTCCCCTCCTAGACTAAGAGCTTGTCCTCAAGCTCGAACTCCGGATACGTGGCTTGGAACTCGGTCAAGGGAATCCATGTGGCTTCGGCTGATGGTAGGCTGTCCTAGTCCACCAAAACTTCAAGAATACCTCGATTGATACGAGAGCGGATGAAAGCCCTAGGCTGGGGAACAAATTTGCCTTCTTTCAAGGGTGGCAAGGAGGGGACTTGGTCCGGAGGAACACCCATAAATGGTTTGAGCAAGGAGATGTAAAAAACATCATGAATCCGGCTGTTCTCGATCGTGCGGTTTACCACCTCCGTCTGTCCGTCGATCTGTGGATGATATGCTGAGGAGAAGGCCAGGGNCATGAATCCGGCTGTTCTCGATCGTGCGGTTTACCACCTCCGTCTGTCCGTCGATCTGTGGATGATATGCTGAGGAGAAGGCCAGGGTGGTGCCATGTAGCCGAAATAACTCCTTCCAGAAGGCACTAGTGAAAACCGGGTCCCTGTCGTTGACAATGGATTCCGGTAACCCATGTAAGCGGAAAACATGCGTAAAGAAGGCGAGGGCAACTGAAGTGGCACTGTACGGGTGTGATAGAGGAATGAAGTGGGCATATTTAGAGAAGCGATCCACTACCACGAACAGAACTGATTTACCGCCTACCTTGGGTAGCCCCTCGATGAAGTCCATGGATATGTCAGCCCAGATCTGTGTCGGGATCGAAAGGGGCTGAAGGAGGCCTGTCGGGTTCAGGTTTTCCCATTTATGTTGTTGGCACGTGGAGCAATTTTGGACAAAATCCCGAATAGAAGTCTTCATACCTTGCCAATGGAAATCAGCCCGGACGTGGTGCAGCGTTTTCTGAATGCCCTCATGGGTGGAGTTATGGATGCTAGAGACGATGGCGGGAATCAACGGGGAGTCTGGCGGAAGATGTACCCGGCCTTTATATAGTACCAACCCGTCATGAAGGGACCAATTGGAGTCGGCGGCGCTGGACTGAATCTTCTGTACAAGGAGCGACCATTCCGGAGATTGTGGCATTGCCTTCTTGATGTCGTCTAACAGAGAGATCCGGGGTTGGGAAATTCCACACAGAGACATCGCGTCTAGACAAAGCATCAGCTGCGCGATTTGAGGTTCCCGCCTTGTATTCCACCCGGAAATCGAACCCGAGCAGTTTGCTAACCCAATGCTGCTGAGGGGAAGTGGTGAGTCATTGCTCCAACAGGTACTTGAGGCTGTAGTGATCGGTTTTGATGACGAATGACCGCCCCCACAAGTACGGCCTCCAGTGTTGGACGGCTCTAGCTAGGCCGATTAGTTCGCGCTCATAGGCTAGAAGTTTCAAGTGTCAGTCAGGCAACTTGCGGCTGAAGAAGGCAATCGGGTGTCCTTGCTACTGTAATATGGCCCCGATACCCACTCTAGAGGCATCGCACTCRACTATAAATTCGAGAGTGAAATTTGGTAATTGCAGAACTGGGGTGGAGGCCAGGGCATCTCTTAATGTCAAAAAAGTTGCATCGGTTGCGTCCTCCCACCGGAAGAAATTTTTCTTTAACAGGTTGGTTAATGGGGCAGCCAACAATCCATAATTCTGCACAAATTTGCGATAGTAACCTGTTAACCCCAGGAACCCGCGTAAGGCCTTGGCGGATTGAGGCTTGGGCCATTCCTTGATAGCTTGAATTTTGGAACTGTCAACCGTCACACCTTGCCCGTGGATGACATGGCCTAGATAAAGAACCTGCCGCTCCCCGAAGGAACACTTGGACCGTTTTAGGAGTTTGTGTAGTTTGTGTTGGACCGGTCGTCTATCCGTTGATTTCGAAAAAACTGCTCGCACCGGTACAGCCAGCCCAAGGGGTCTCCGTTTCCGTTGTACGACGGGAATTCTAACCTGTTTGTACTTGGGGATGACTGCGGCCCCCTGGTTGACGAACTGCTGTTCACCGGAAGACTCCGGCAGATCTGGTCGGCAGCCGCTAGTGGCTGTCACCCCTTCTGTGTTCCTCTCTTTGCTAGAAAGGAATAACTCCATCAGACGCCGTAGCTCCCTGACTTCGTCCTTGATCTCATGTACTTCTGAACTGGTCTCCACGAGCTGGTGCTCAAGATCATGGACCCTGGATGGCAGCTGCTCCAGATCTCCCATGACACCTTGCTCTGATACCAAGTTGTTGAGGGCCCGCGAATGGGATCTCGTCACGGGTCGGTCCACGGGGAAAACCTCCTGTTTTCCCTTGTTCCTCCTTGCTCTTGATGAACCTATCTTGGCGCCTTGGTGATTTGTTCAAGAGATCACCAACTCTCCTAACTCACTTCTTGACTGAATATTTGATGCCTTCATTCAATAATAATGTCTCCTTAAATAGGAGATTACAAGAGTCCTACTCCTATGGGGACTCCTTGCTGAATAGAGAGACCTCCTGCTCTATCTTGATAAGACAAGACTGATAGGATAAGATAAGTCTCTTAATCCTAATCTGATAAGATAAGATAATCTAATCTACTAATCTTAATAAGATAAGATAAGGACAAGCAAGATGGTCTAATCTAATCTGCCGAATGGATAAGACTGTTGCCACCGAATTGGGTAGGATGAGAACATTGGATCACTGCTGCTGCTGGCGGCGGTCGGGTCCCTGCTGCTGCTGGCGGCGGTCGGGTCCCTGCTGCTGCTGGCGGCGATGATATTTCTTCCCGAGGAACACGTCCATATCAAACCACTTGAAGGCAATAGAGTAAAGCTGAATTTTGATGGGTGCTAATATGGAAATCCAGGCATCTCAGGAATAGGAGGAGTATTAAGAAAC